TCCAGGTGACCAAGTGTCCTGAGTTTTCTGGGACTGAGGAGGTGTCCCCCGGGATGCAGGACTGTCAGTGCTAAAATTGGGAACATCCTGGGTAAACTGGGACAAATTGGTCACCCTCCTGGAATCTTTGCATTCAGGTCCTTAGTGCTCCACCATCTCACCAAAATGACCTTGGACAATTGACCTATCAACAGGGGCCTCATTTTTCTTCCTGTGAAGGTAACTCATGGTTCTTATGGGAATTTAATGAGTTTATGTATGAAAAGTGTCTAGTACTGTGCCTGGCACATAGTGAATCCTCAGTGACGTTGGCTATAGTTGTTTTATTGGGTTGAGTGAGACCTTTGAGATGACCTGGCCTCCATCTGGTTCAGGAATCCGCTCTGTGGTGACCCTCCCTGATGACACCCCACAGTGCAGCACTCACGTCCTCACACGGGAGCCTTTTCTTTGTGACTGGTGACCTACTCCCTGTCCCGTCAGCTCTGAGGGCCCATAGAGGATGGGGCCCTCTTCTTGAAGACATCTCACGGCTCCTTGAGGGTGACTCACCTGTCTCCAGCCTGGGTCTTCTCTTCCCTGGGCACATCCTGACTGTATCCCCTGGAAGCAGTGTTATCTGCCCCTGTAGGCCCCAGGGCTCAGCATTGAACTTAGCTCCACTCAGGGGGCTTTTCTGGACTGTAAACAGGTATTGTGGGTGTAGATGGTACCCATCCTCTGAATTAGACCTGGAGAGAAATGTCCTGAGAGCAGAAGGTGACTGGCTCATAAAGAAGCTGAGGGGCCTCTTTCCCTGAAATCACAGGCCCTGAACTGGAAAGGCTCGTGGGAGTCTGAAGCCAAGGCTCCGGTACCCCACTGAAGGGCTCAGCATGAACTCCCCTTTCTCTGGCCCAGCCTAGAGACAGGCACTGGGGATGTTCTTCACTCAAGGGGCCGGATAGCAGGATGGTTAGGGCCCCTGGCTTCCTGATCAGCCTAATCTGCCTTCACGTCTTACTCCCTTCTCTTTAGCTGTGTGGCCTTGACCCAGTCACTTAGTTGCACTTTCCTCGTGTGTTCAGAGGGGAGAATTTTCACAGCCTAGCACATATGAAATAGTAACTCTTACTATTTGTGGTTATTACTACTCCAACCCCCCAGGGAATGGACTTGAAGCAGTTTTCTTCTAGCGCACAGGTGGGACAATGACTGGGCAAGGCTGGGATTTGTTCCAGCGGGTCTGGACACTTGGCTGTCCATGTTCTTGTCCCAGGGATCATGGAGAACCATTCCCAAGAGCCTCTCAGCAGGGTTCGAGTCCACGTGCTGTGTTAGTGGCTGGTGCTGTGGCCTGTAAGGCCAGGGTATGTTTGCAGGAATCTCTGGGGGCCTTTGCCATCAGTGGAAGCCAGACTGTTCTGAGTAGGAACTTTGTGGTGCACCCCTCCCCCCACATGTACACCGGCCTCTGGTAGGCAGTTCTGAGGTTAAAGAATGGAGGAAACAGATGGGGTCCCCAGTAACAAAAGAGAATCATAGAGAAGTCACAGGACACAGTGTGGAACAGTGCCTGGCACAGAGTAGGGTCTTGGTTCCTCCTTCGCAATCTGCTGCTTGCCTTATTATTATTTTTAAAGCATCCAAGTATTATTGTTGTTTGTTTGGTTTTTGCATCCAGGTGTCTAACTGTATTTTATACAGTTAGGTTTGTTGATCTGTCCCTTTGTGATTCTTTTATAGCTCCTAGATATAGAAAGTATTCCTCGCATAAGAGGTTGTATAAATGTTAAATTCTGTTTTGTTTTGTATTTTTTGCTTTGATTTAAAAAATATTTAGAGTGTAATTTGATGTAGAGTTTATTTTGATTTTTAGGTTATTGAGAGTCTCTCTTTTTTTGTTTTCCCAAAATTGTTAATTGGTTGGCTATTCTAACATCAGTTATTAATCCTTTCCTGATCTTTTTGTGAGGCCTCCTTTAGCATTTATTAAATTATGACATATTACTTATGGACCACATGGGCTATATATTTTATTTCTATGATCTATTTTCCCTGTGGCTCTCTTTTGAAATAATGGTAGCCGTGCAATATTGGTTACCACCCATCTTTTTTTCTTATAGAGTCATGCTTGCTCATTCCTCCAGTTGAAATTTAAAACCATTTCATAAGTTAAAAAACCAAAAAACATTTTGGGATTTGAATAGGAATTACATTAAGCAATCTATAAATCCGTTGCTTTAAAAATCAACATGATTTTAATATTTTGACTTGTTATCAATGAATGTGTTATAGCTTCACATACAAATCAATTTTTAAAAACATTTTTGTGTGAACTGTTCTACTTTTCTTAATATTATTCAGATCCATTTTTTCATTATTGCTATCACTGTATATTTTATATTACTGTTGCTGTTCAGAATAGGATCCTCAAAAACTCCATTTTTATTGCTGGCATATAGAATGTCATTGAGTTTTGCATGTTTATTTGGGTCAGCCACTTTGCTGAAGTCTGTTTCGTTTGCGTGGTCAGATGACTTTGGGTGTTTGAGGTTACACAGTCGTTGCAAATACACATCATAATAATGTCTTGTCTGTTTCCAATTTTATGTTTTCTGTTTCTTTGGACAGAACTCCTAAGTCCATGTTAAGGGATGCAGGTGGTGGGAGGCATCCTTTGTGGCTCTTTGTTTTAAAGGGACAGCTTCTGATGTTTCCCTTGGTGTTGCTCCTAGCTTGTAGATCTGTCGCTTCCACCCAGTGGACTGATATGATTGACAGCCACCACAGCCGTCCCTTGGAGCCATTTGTGCTCTGGCACCAGGCACTAGGGACTCGTTGTTTGGAAGGGTTTGTTCTTTCTAGAATCCCCAGCCTACCCCAAACTTTGAGCCCGCAGAGCTGGTCCAGTCCCAGCCCTGATCTCTACTGAAAGCCTGGCTTCCTGGGACTGGGTCCCCGCTGCAGACTTCGCATCCTCTTCCGCCATCCTCGCCTGCTGATACAGGCGCTGGTGGTTCTGGCAGCAGGGCTGCGCTCACTCAGCACAGCCTGGACCAGAGGAGGCAGTAAGACACCTCTTCACAGGATGCCCTACAGGACCCCTGTGGCCCTCAGTCATCTGGACTTTTGTCTTTACCCCACGTGCCCCCTTTCTTTCCTCACCAACTCAGGAAGGTCCCCAATACCCTGCCCTGCTCCAGGCCTGCTAGACCTCTGCTGGCACCGTGCTCTGTGGTCTTTCCAGTCCAGTGGGAAAGCAGAAAGAAAAAGGGGTCAATACAATACAATACAATACAATACAGGATGAAGAGGTTTCATTCACACAATATGAGGCTGGAGCATCTAACTGCAGTGAGAGAAGGCTTCTTGAAGGAGGTGACACTTGAGCTGGTCTTGGAGCAAGAGTAGAAATTCTACGAGGCAGGTGAGGGAGAAGGGCTTCTCTTCTGACTGTTTCTATAGGCTTTGCATTATTGTTGCTGTTCACAGTAGGATCTTTATAAACTTTCTTTTCTTGCTGGTAGATAGGAATATTATTGATTTCTGTATATTTAATTTGGAAAAATCTTCAAAGGCTTAGAGGCCTGGGGGAAGCCTGGCCTCTTTGGGAAAAAGACAAGAGTTTGCTGAGAGGGAGATGGGGCAGTGTTTTCTGAGTTGGTGAGTGAGTGCTCCTGGGGTTCAGGGGTTCAGGGGTTAGGAGGGGATCACCAGTAATGGGGGCACTTAGGGAAGAAGAGAACATCTGTAGCATTACCTCAGCATTCCTGCCTGGCACTTTGTTAGTACATTTAGTACTTTGTATTACATTTACTTTTCCTGACAGCCTTGCTAAGTGGATAATGATACCCCCATTGTACAGATGAAGAAACTGAGGCCCAGGGAACTTACATGACTTAGATGAACCTCATCTCTCAGCCTTCATACTTTCAGTGTCTCCCTGTTGTCATATATATAAAACAGTTTTATTGACATATAATTCATATACCCTACAATTCAGCCATTTAAAGTATACAATTTAGCAGTTTTAGTATATTCATAGATTTGTGCAGCTATCACCACAATCAAATTTTAGAACATTTGCTTACCCTCACCAAGAAACCTTCACCACTTCATCTCCATCTCACAGTCCTTCAATGACCCCCAGCCTTATGGAACCACTCATCTACTTTCTGCCTCTATATACTTGGCTATTCTGGACATTTCATATAAATGGTCTCATACACTATATGGTCCATTGTGACTGGCTTATTTCACTGAGCATAATGTTTTCAAGGTCCTTCGATATTGTAGCATGTATTGGTACTTCCTTTCTTTTTATTGCTAAACTTACTCCTTTTTATGGAGATTCCGCATTTTGCTTATCCATTCAGCAGTTGATGGACATCCGGGTTGCTTCCATGTTTTGGCTGTTATGAATAATGCTGCTATGAGCATCCATGTGTAATGTGTTTTTGTGTGGACACCTTGTTCCAGTTCTCCCGGGTGTACACTGCGAGTGGAATTGCTGGCCGTATGGTAATTCTTGAGGAACGGCCAGCAAGCCTGCACACAGCTTCCTTGCTGCCTCTTGTACAAGGCTTTCTTTCCGTCAGCGTGACAGGACTGGGAAGGTCAACGTCTATGTGAATTGCCCGTTTTCAAAGAAGTAGACTGTTACCAAGGACTCATAAGACTGCAGCTTCACTGCTGAGTCTTTGACGGTTCCTTAGGGACTTGTCGACTTGGCAGGGCCTCCAGGGCATTGCCGTGAATGCTGGTCGCCGCTGCGCTGGCAGAACCCTGCCTTCCACATTCTGGCTAGTAGGACGTGGTAATGGAGAGGGACAAGTGTGATTACAGGTGATGAAGGCTCCCAGAAGAGAGAGAGTAGGGTTTCAAGCCTGGCACAGGAGGGACAGGCGGGAGAGCAAGGAGGCTGGGAGGGTGGACCGGGTCGGGTCCACATGGTTTGGGGCAAGTCCTCGGGCAGCTCTGGCTGCTGACTCTGGTCTGTCTTTGTTTTTTGGCTGCAGATCTGGCCGAGTGCAAGCTGGTTTCTTTCCCCATCGGCATCTACAAGGTCCTGCGGAATGTCACCGACCAGATCCACCTCATCACGCTGGCCAACAACGAACTCAAGTCCCTCACCAGCAAGTTCATGACCACATTCTGTCAGCTTCAAGGTAGGCCCTGGTCAGCTCAGCTTAGCTCAGGGGGGCATGGCCAGCCCTCGTCCTCAAGCTCTGACACTCTTGGGAGGGGAACTAGGGCCAGCCCCGCCAGCTGCACCTGGGAAGTCTCTGCCAGGGGGAGGCTTTGAGGATGGACCTGTGTCCTTCCTGAAGCGTAGAAACCTCTGTCGCGTCTGCCTCGCTGGCTGTGAATCAGATTGGCTAATGGTCTAGGTGTGGGTCCTGGAGTGACCCTCTTATTCTGAGCAGACCAGCGGGGTCTTTGGGGTCTTGAGGCCCAGCAGTATCTCTTGGTGACTTGAACAAGCCCCCTTCTGCTCCCCCAATCCGGCATTGTTCTCCTGTGCTGCTCTCTTAGTTCAGGAGTGACAGATTCCAGAATGTTGGTGTTTCCTCTGCTGGGCACACACAGAGCACGTGGACAGGGGGGCTTGGCAGCTAGATGGGCAGGAGGCCAGGAGGTGGGTATTATCGATTCTTTTGAAGTGGCTCCTCCGGATGGACAGCAGCATGCAGGTGTCGCCGCAGTGCTTGTCCCCTTCTCCACAGAGCAGCCCCTCCATCCTCTGCAAGAGTCCAGGGCCACTCAGCCGGCCTGGGATGGAGCTGCGACCTGGGCATGTGGCATGTGCTTTCAAAGTGGTGGAGCAGGAGTGTTGGGGAGAGCACAAGAGGCATGACCTTCCTGCCTTCTAGAATTCTCTATCTGCTAGGAGCATGGAAAGGGTCTAAGAGCCTGTGTAGAGAAACACGTATGTAAAATGGAAACGGGGGAACAGAGCAACTCGAGCGAGCCTGTCTCCTACAGCTGATCTTAGGCTTCTTAGGGAAACCACAGGAGGGAGCACAGGCCGGCCTGGAAAGACCCCCGTGAGGTGCAGACACGAGGGCAAGAACGTGGGCTTGGTCTGTGCAGTCATTTCTGAGTGAAGCTCACAGGGCTCATATTTTTACATAAAATAAAAGCGATCAAACACTAGATTTAGCCTGAGGGCCACTGGTTGGGAGAATCTCCCATAAATATTAGAGCTGTTTCCGTCCCCTCATTTCAGGGATAGAGAATGAAGGTCAGGGAGAGCAGGGACGTGCCCGCCCGGGGTCTCAGAGCAGTACACCCTGGTTGCCCACCTCGCAGGCCAGAGCTCACGGGTCCTCCAGAGCTGTATCCAGCCCGCTGGAATGGGGTGTTTGCTTTCCAGAGGGGGAGGGAATGATGGACCGTGGATGGTGGGGGTGGGTGGGGCCCCTGGAAGGGCAGTCAGGCAGGCGGGCTTCCTTTGGGTGAGAGGAGTTCATTTGTACATTTTCCTTCATTCACTCTGCCCTGCGCTCCTGCTGCGTCCAGGCCTGTGGGAGGCTCAGAACAAAGGCCACTAAGCTGGTCTCCCACTGAAGGAGCCCAGGGTCACGGAACAGACGCGCCAACACCGAGTGCTGTGACACTAGTGTGGACAAAACACGGGGCTGCTGGGCCGAGGAACAAATCTTCCTGAGAGTGGCAAGTGCAGCGGGGTGGGTGTGGAAGCGAGGCTCTCAGAGGATCTGACATTCGGCAGCGCCTTGTGGGATGAGTGAGCAGGCCCTCTCAGGGGGACCACGACGGGTGTCAGAGAAATGTGCTAGAGCCCCGTGCATTCGTGCCTGGGCCCTGGAAATACAGTCATGACAATACCCTCTGGGTCAGAAGTCTGTTGAAGGGTACAGTTTGAACTCCCTCCTGTGCTGGCTGCGGCTCCTGATGCCCCCACACGCCTTGGATTACAAAGGGATGGCCGTGTGCCCAGCAGGAAGGGGCTGGAGCTGAGGACCAACCTGGCTCCCACGGAGGTAGCGCTGAGTCCCAGCCTTTGTCGTAGCTTCTCTTTCAAATAAGAAAACCTTCACATCTTCTGTGCGAAGAGGAAGCTTGAATAAGGTTTTCTGGGCTCCTCACAGCCTGCCAGTGTCCTGACGAAGGAGGGGGCTGCTTTTGTGTTGGGGAGAGAGCCATCTGTGAACTCCCTGCCTGCCAAGTTGTCTCCTGTGGGCAGCCTGGGAACCGTCTTCTGCTAGGCTCATGGCCCCTCAGTGCAAAGCCTTATTATTTATTTATTTGTTTATATGCGTTTATTAGTCTGCTTGTTTATTTATCTGTGTATCTGGTTGTTTGTTTATTTGTTTATTTATTTATCCTCGCCCATTGATTTTTTTTGAGAGAGAGAGAGTAGAAGGGGGTGAGGGAGAGAGAGAGAGAGAGAGAGAGAAACACCAATGTAAAAGAGGCACATTGATTGGTTGCCTACTGCATGTGCCCTGACTGGGGTTTGAAGATCGAATCTGCTACCCAGGTATGTGCCCTTGACCAGGAATCAAACTGGTGACTCTGGTGCACAAACCGATGCTCTATCCACTGAGCAACACCAGCCAGGGCAGAGCAAGGTCATCTTTAAATGATTCCATCCCCTTTATGTCCTTCACCCGTTTTATAACAAGAAAAAGCAAGAAAGACCTGGGAAGGACAGTGGCAGAAATGGAATCAGTCCAAAGGGCAAGTGACTCCCAGTGTCCAGCTGTGGCTCTTTTGTTCCCTCTTTTTCTGTGTCCCCATCTCCCCACTTCCTCTCCATGCAAATCATTCAGCTCTTCTTTTTTAAAATGTAATTGTTTTTAGGTTGATTTTTACAGAGAGTGAAGGAGGGAGTGGGGAGAGAGAGAGACATCGATGTGAGAGAGAAACATCCACTGGTTGCCCCCTGCACACGGCCCGACCGACCGGGAATCACACCCACAACCTGGGAATGTGCTCTGACCGGGAATTGAAGCTGCCACCTTCTGGTGTCCAGGATGCTGCTGCAACCAACTGAGCCGAGCCGGCCAGGGCTCATTCAGCTCTTCTTACTGCGTGTGTGTGAGACACCCCTGCAGAGTGAACGAAGACCACCCAAATGAGAACTGCAGGGGCTGCTCATTCAGAGCTGCTCTAGCAAGTGAGTCAGCCTCTGCTTGCCTTGGGTAGAGACTCAAAGGCAGGCAGAGGGGTGGGAAAGCTTTACAGTGGAGGAAGGGAAGGCTTCAGGTGTGCCCTGATTGGAGGCCTTTGGCCTGGGGACCCTGGACGCAGGCCTGCTGGCCGTGGGGCATCCTGTGCGATTGGTTAGGGTGTGTATTTGGCTTTCTCTGCTTGGTGCTAAGTTGGAAGTAGGGACAAAAGTTAAGGAAACTGTCAGCAATCGAGTCCTGGCCATTGGGTCTATTTGTTATAGAGGGTATTGCTTGGTTTCCAGGATTATTGATAGCGATAGCAGTCTGACTTCCCATGAGTCTGACTTAGGGCAGACAGCTTCCTGAGCTGTCACTGTTGAGATGGGTTGGTTTCCTGGGCAGGTTGTGGGTCAGAGTTCTATTCTTATAGTTGGTCTGGCCATTGCCTGTGTGTATTCAGTCTCTCACAGCCTGTCTTTCAGTGAACTTCAGCAGTTCCTTGTGAGCGCCTGCTCTGCGCCCGGCGTGGGCACGAACAGGTGAGGAAGAGCAGGAGAGCCCAAGTTCACAGGGTGCATGCTGAGGGCTTTACATATGTTATCTCATCCAACCCTCATAGCGCCCGGTATTTGAGAAGGCTAAGAAAACAGAGACCTAGGTTCGCTTGCTCAGACCCAGCCCTGGATCCCGCCCCAGACTGGGACGCAGCTTCACCATGGAGGAGGCAGACAGAATCCTCATCCATTCCCTGCGCCAGTTCCTCCGGAAGTGCAGACCCTGCGAGCCTTCACCACTGAGCTAGTTGTCGAAGCCGTTGTCTGTTGCCTGCGTGTGATCAATCCTGCTGTGGGCTCCGGCCTCAGCCCCCTGCTGCCTCTCGCCATGTCTGCCCGTTTCCACCTGGCCATGAGCCTGGCTCAGGCCTGCATGGACCTGGGCTATCCTTTGGAGCTTGGCTATCAGAACTTCCTCTACCCCAGTGAGCCTGACCTCCGGGACCTGCTTCTCTTCTTGGCTGAGCGTCTACCTGCCGATGCCTCTGAGGATGCAGACCAGCCTGCAGGTGACTCAGCAATCCTCCAGGCCATCGGGAACCACATTCGAGACCAGTTGGCCCTGCCCTGGGTTCCACCCCTTCTTCGCACTCCTAAGCTGCAGCACCTCCAGGGCTCGGCCCCCCAGAATCCTTTCCATGCCAGGACGCTGGTCGTGCCTGAATTGAGTTCCACAGGAGAGCCCCGGGAGTTCCAGGCAAGTTCCCTGCTACTACCAGCCCCCACGCAGGTGCCTCAGCCTGCTGGGAGGGTGGCCTCGCTCCTCGAATGCCATGCCATCCAGCTCTGCCAGCACACAGCCCGGGACCACCCTGGGGACAAGGCCTGGGTCCACCAGGCATCCTGCCTCCCCGCACAGGATAGGCGGGCTCAGCTGCAGCGGCTGCAGAAGCACCTGACTGAGCATCTGCGTCAGACCTGGGGCCAGCTGGGGGGCCCCCCACAAACCCAGGACTTGGGAGAGCTGCTGCAGGCCTGGGGTGCTGGGACCACGGCTGGTGCTCCCAAGGGCTCCCGCTTCATACATTCAGAGAAGTTCGCCTTCCATCTGGAGCCCGAGGCCCAGGTAGCCCAGGTGTCAGCTGTGCCAGCCACCTCCCAGTGGCCTGAACCAGACACGTGGGCAGCTCAAGAGCAGGAGCTGGAGGCTCTCCGGGAGCTGCTAAATGGAGTGAACCTTATCATTGAAGAGGTTGCAGCCAACAGGAAGACGCTGGGAATCGGCCTTGTGCAGATGGAGACCCGGTGTCGGCAGACGGAGCTCAGCACAACGGAGAGGGAGCAGGCCCTGCACCTGAAGCGCCGGGCGGTGCAGCTGCTGCCAGACGGGGCTGCCAACCTTGCCAAGCTACAGCTCGTGGTAGAGAGTAGTGCCCAGCGGGTCGTCCACTTGGCGGGCCAGTGGGAAAAGCACCGGGCCCCGCTCCTTGCTGAGTACCACCACCTCCGAAAGCTCCAGGTTTGCAGAGAGCTGGA